AAGCCGATCTCGAGCTAGAGTAGAAAGTACAAACTAAGCAAATTTAATTCGATTCTATTCTACTCGGCTCGCTTATATCACTATTTATAGCACTATAATAAAAAAAAAGTATGGGGATTTATTAAGAATATTTAAGTTGAAAAATTACTCACTTCATCATAAAGTCCAGCCAGGCTTGAGGATTCCTGCGGAGCGCTGCAACTAGGGGTTCGTACTCGTGGGGCTGCAGACCATACTCCGCGAGTATCTCGCATACTTCAGCTTCCTCTGCCATGAAGCAAACATAAGACACATCAGATCCAAAGTGACGGTAACTATGGCGCCGGAGCATTAGGGCAACAACGGCACACGCACCAGTGTCAGGAACACTAACGATCTCCTCCTGCTCCCGCTTGTATTCGCGCCAGTAATGGTCCGCCTCGCTCTTCGCCGCTAGATACCTGCCACGTGACGATTCAAAATTGTTAAGCGGAGGAAACCTTAGATCTGAAGGGTGAGATAACCGGCAAGCGGGAGGGAGGCGGAAGCGTACCCGCCGAGTCCCATGGAGATGGCGCCGGCGGCGACCTCGGCGAGTCCGGCGGTGAGGATGAGAGAGGAAGGTGCGGCGGCGCCGGACAGACCGGCGGCGAGGGCGAAGGGAACGGTGAGGCCATCAGAGACGCCGATGATGACGTCGCGGACAATTTCACCGGCGGTGAAATGCTTCTCCTTGTGTTGGGCCAGAAACTTCTCTGACAAACTTTCGTTCGCCGGAAATCGGCCTTGGTCTAACGCCATTCTAGAGAGAGAGGAGAGAGAGAGAGAGAGAGAGAGAGAGAGAGAGAGAGAGAGAGAGAGAGATCAGAAGGAGCAAGGCATGCAGTTATGGGATTGTGTAGAAGTTCATCGGCCGTGCGGATATTTATACTGAATGGAATAATGAATTGAAGACTAGAATTAATATTTGTTAAAAGAAATTCAATAACAATACATGATACATTTCATTTTGCCTCTTTGCTCATTCCATCAAAATCAACTTAAGTTTTTCTATCGAAAGTAAAAGCCATAGTAAATATTGGAAGAAGTTCATCTTGCTAAATAGTTGTATATATTGGTCTGTCTTTCAGTGTCTTAGTTGCATACTCATTAAGAATCAATTTGTGAAGTGCTAGATGCTTCTGAATATTAAAAGAATCCTCATTCTTCAAATTTTCTGATATAATCTCAAATATAAATTTTACAACATCTTCTTGACTTCTTCTACTTTTTTTTCGATAAGAAAATATACAATGAGAAATAAAACTCATCATATTTATCAAAATTGTTGCCCAAACTTTAGAGCATGTTATTTTCCTTCATTACCGGTTGAATAAGATGGAAGTGGTATTCCAAATCTTTATGCATATTCTTGCAAACGAATTCTATGCATATTCATAAAAGTCACCTTCACACATATGTTGGACTTAGATTAACGGTTGAATAAGAATGAAGCATGATGCTAGCCTTATGTGTATATAAATTAAAAAAAAAAATTGAAATATAATTTTTTTAATAAATTAGATGCATTTAAAGCACTTACAAATATTTGTACTAACTTTTTGCTCTTGTCTTTAAATCTCTTAGCATAAATAGTCAAAGAAAATGAATGAATCACAGCACAAATATCATTTACAAAGCACATTGATAATGAATTATTTTATTTTAAATTCATGTATGCAATGCATATTAATACTCATGTTCCCCCTACTTCAATTCCCCATCCATCCTCATATCTGTATTATTTTTCCTACTTTACCCTAATGCAGAAAGTTTGTAGTTACCTAGCCTCATCTTTCTCCTTAAAATTTATTTTGGCAAATGTTTTCAACTGTAGCAGATTTCAACACTTATTTTTACAACTCTTACTATAAATGTTCAAAGAAAATGAATGAATAACTACATAAATATTATTTATAAGGCATGTTGCTAATGAATTATTTTTTTTTATTTGGGAGAAAAATTTGGCATATGCCAATATCATATAATCAGAAAAAAGTTATTGGAAGAGGAAAAATAAAATAAAAAGAACAAAGGAAAAACTACAAGAAAAGAACTACGCCAAAGAAATATCTCACATGAAGCCAGCCCCAAGAAAAGAACTATGCAAAAATGATCCTCCTATCTTTTATATCTCTCTATTCCATATATCTACCATCAAGTACTTTATCAAGACTCTTGGGGGTGCAGCGTTGGGGCAACAGAATTTGACGTAGTAGTGCTGATGCTCTTTGTTCTACAATAATTGTGGAAAAAATGTATGGTGCCAGGGCACCGGGTTGAAGCGTCGTCATGCTAGCTAGGCACTAAAGAATATTTTTTATATATTTTCTCCTCCACTCAGACCCCACCCCCCCAATTTTGTTTTCTCTCTGAGGAGAAGGTGTAGAAGGTAAGGAGAGGGGAGGAAAGGGAGATAGAGAGAGGTTTGGATTTTTTGTTCCTTGGTTTTATTCAGAGATTTTTTCTATTCATAATAAATAATATGAATCTCACTCTGATTTTCAAGAATTTTGAGCTTGATGATTTAAAATTCTCCAATTCAATAAAGATGTTTTTTTTCTAATTTATTGTACTTACATTGTATACCTATATATTAATGATAAATAAAGATTTCATGAGTATTTTTTACTATAATATTATTGAATATCATCAAGTGAATCGATAGTTATGATTTTTTGAAGTAAATGAATAGTATTTAGATTTCATGCATTTCTTAGATTAAAGCATTTCATATATGATATTGAATTGCAATACATTGAAAAATAACATGATTGATATGAATTGAATGTAGCAATTGCATGTAAGCAAGGAATGCTAGTTGTTAACCTTATAATTACTATGAGTTGACTCTTAAAATATAACACCCTATGAAGGAGGGTGGGCTGATAGGCATTTTTTTTAAAATAAAATAATTTGTGGTGTAATCCTATGTATTAGCCTATAATTGATTGATTAAATTATGCTGACGGATAAAGGGTGATGACTCTTTATAGATTATTAAAAGCCACTTATAGTGATGATAAAAGAATATATAAATAATTAATGAGGCTCATTGATGGCACATGAAAGAATGAAAGCATCTCATTAAAACTAGATGTCTTGCCTTGCAATTTATAATCACATTCATAATTTTATTTACATGATAACACATGAACTGACTGATAAAGTTGATGAAACTAGTATTAAAATCGATACAACTTAACATAACATATGATATATATTTACAAACACTGATAGACATGTTGAGATAATGATAGATATATTATTATAATACACTGATATAACATATTAATAGACATGTAATTATTGACAGAAAATATATGATGAAATCATTGACATAAATATAATTGAAAGACATTCGACATATGCTTTATTGTACTACATATGACAGTTCTTAATAGACATTTATTTTATTTCTGATGGATTCCTATACTTTTTTGTGATGTTTTTGTTTTACTAATATATGGATATTTTATTAATATATTGATATTGATCTTCGGTTTCATACTGATGACCAATGACTTTATAGTGATTAAATTGAGCATGAATATTAATTCTTAAGACCTTTCAATAAATATAGTGGGGTAATTTAGTTTCTTGTTCGGCTATGTGCTCTTAATATGAATTTGATTGATTTTTAAGTACAAAAAGGGACCAACTGATTGAGATTGATTAAAGTCTAATTTTTGGTTTAGTTTTTCTTCTTATATTTTTGTTATTATTTTGTGACCAGATGTTTGTAATAGATGAATGTTTTATATTGAACTTCTAGTTATTATATATGGATTTTGAATAATGATGTGTATATCAATAAATGATTTGATATATTGATGCTTTCATTGGTTTATTTGATAAAAATAAAATTAGTGGCTCTAGTAGATTAATTAGAGGATATATATATAAATGATACAATTACTCCAATTTAGATTATGAGATACAACAGATGCTTTGTAGTTCTTAGCCATTTATGAGTCATTTACATAACAACTCTAGCATCTCATGTGTGCTATTTTCAACTTATCTTTGTGTCTGTGAAATCTTTGCAAAACTCTAAGAAATTATGTTTTCTCAACAATTGCAATTTTTAATTCTATCATGCAACAAAAGTAATAATAAAAATTAAAACTCATAGATAATACTTTCTTACAAAAGTATTTGTCATACCTTGTAATTTCCATGTATATGCTTGATTGGAAAGAACCAAAGAAAAATTTAGCTATTTTTCTTCTATATGTTTTTGAATTTACTTAAAAGTATATATATATATTTCTTCCCAATTCTAGTCACAATTAAGATGATAATACTATTAAATCTTTATTCATAACAATTTAAATACTAATTTCTCACCACTAAATAAGGAAAAAAATCACAAAAAATTTCTTCCATCAAATAATTATATGACAATTAGTTCAAATATAATTTCTTTACCATCTTCTTTTTATTTCTTCTCTTAAATTTCCTTCAAATTAAACAGAGACGATATCTTCTGATTCAAAATGTTGTGAACAATTTTGCTTTTATTATCATTCTATAGTCTATATAAGCATGCGTTATTATAAAGTTAACTTACCCTTTTGCTCTTTATTTTTCTTATTGGAAAAGACCAAACTCATCTTGATGTGCTGAGATGTGTTAAAAACAGGACACAGATGCTACGTCTTCTGTTATAAAAATCCCTTTTAAGTTGCTAAGAAGCTCGTGGCCACCACATGCACCATCAAATCTGTTCTCCGGTAGCTTTATAACACACTTGAAAATACATTATCAAAGAAATATTTGACTATGACATAAAAACGTCATCAAGCTTTATATTTGGTACAATTTTTTTTAATGTGACCAAGTTCATCAAAAAATAAACAAGTTCCTTTATCTTTCTTAAATTTGTTATTTCTTTTAATATTATAATAGCAAGCTCATTTTAATCTATCGGTTGAGAGTTTTTTGCTACCAATAAAAAAATATTGGGTTTAAGTTTTCCATATGTGATGGTATGTGTGTGTATTTGTCTTAATATTGGGTTTAAGTTTTCCATATGTGATGGTATGTGTGTGAATTTGTCTTAATGGGCCTAAATATTCTAAAAAAAAAGTTACATTATAATAAATAGATTTATGTTTAATTTGGGATAATTTTCTTACTGTTTTTTACAATAATTTTTAGTAAAAAAAAAATTAATATATATATATAAGGACTTGATTACAAGTTGTATTATAATAGCCAGCTCATTTTAATCTATCGGTTGAGAGTTTTTTGCTACCAATAAAAAAATATTGGGTTTAAGTTTTCCATATGTGATGGTATGTGTGTGAATTTGTCTTAATGAGCCTAAATATTCTAAAAAAAAAGTTACATTATAATAAATAGATTTATGTTTAATTTGGGATAATTTTCTTACTGTTTTTTACAATAATTTTTAGTAAAAAAAAAATTAAAGTAGCAAAAAAAAAATAATGGAAAAAAACTATTCCAAACGAGACGTTAGATATTTTACTTTATAATTATTTTGAGTTGTATTTATTATTTGATAAGATAAAGGTTATTTAATTCTATTTCTTTTTTTTTTTCATTTATATCTAAAATATAAGAGATAATTTTACCTCAATATATTATTGAAATGATCTACATTATAAAAAAAAAGGGCTATCACATCACAGTTTTTGACTTTTTCGGGCGGTTATAACTGCCACAATTTTATTTGCAACGGTTTAAAAATCGTTGCATGTCCGCTGTAATTGTAATGTGCTGCAACGACATTCTGCAGCTATTTAAGGACCGACGATAGATTTGTCGAAATGCTTAATGCAGCAGCGGTTATAATCGCCACAAAATTTCTGAATTGTGATGATTAATACCGCTACAAATATAACGCGGACAAACT